AGAATTATATAAGATTATGTGGGGAATAAATGGAGTAGATAGGAAGGCACTTTTGCCATTATTACAGAGATCAATAACCAGAAAGGATAGATTTTAAGGTAAGAGGTAGAAGGCTAAGAGGAGAACTGAGATTTTTTTTTACCCAGAGGATAGTGGAAGTCTGGAACACCCTACCTGAAAGGGTGGTTGAGTCAGAAACTCTTGTATCTTTTAAGCACATTTTGATATTCGCTTGCATTGCCATAACCTCCAGAGCTATGGGCTAGAAGATGGGCTGAAAGACTTCCTTCTGTGTTGTAAACATCCATGCATCCATGATACATACTTATGTAAAATTACGGAGCATGCAATAGAATTTATCTGTAACCTGTAGTAAATAATTCACAGGTAATATTGCAAGAAATTACAAGGTTGATTAATATTCATTTGTAACGAATATGGCACTAGACACGAAGCAATTTTCTAAACAGTAGTAGCTAATAATAGAATTTGTAATTTACAGGATGTATTTTACAAATTCACACTCCTAATTTAAATCTTTGCCACCAAGTGCCCATATCATTACAGAAAATTAGGCAGAAACAATTCTATAATGTTCATAACACCTTTTATGCCTCAATTTCTGATTATGCTCCCAGCAGACGAACTGTAACACTAACAGCAAGAATTTGTGAAATTTAGCTTTATGAAGCAGAAACATTGGAACAGAAATGTAGTTTTCAGTCCATTGAGCCAGTTCCACCAGTTGATTACATCATGGCTCATCTGTATCACAGTTCCATTGATTTTTATTTTATAACTCTTTATAGTCTTACCAAACATTAGATCATAAGACCATAAGAAATAGGAACAGGAGTAGGCTGTTTGGCCCCTTGAGTCCACCATTCACTAGGATCACGGCTGACCTGACACACCTCACATCCACTTTCCTGCCCTTTCCTCATAACATTCATTCCCCTGCTGATCGAACATGTATCTATCTTGATTAACCAGTCAATCTGAAAATATCAGTTATACAAAGTAGTCAGACTTCATGAAGCCTGATGCTGTTTTCAAATGTCAGAATTCAATCAATATCTATGAACACCTTGAAATTTGCTCTCATCATTTATGACAATCATTTGTGGGTACAGCATAATTTCATACTTTTCAGGTGCTAATTATTCTGTGTATTTTCACGGATACGATATTACTATTGTGAATTGTAAAACTCCACTAACTGTTATAAGAATTAGCTCGCATACGTGTAAATGTGCTGCAGCATGTGCCAGCATACACTAAAATGAAAATCCATTTTCAATTACACAATCAGTAATCCAATATATTTCTATTTAAAATTACCCAGGTCTGAATGAGTTTGAAATCAATGGTGATGTGTGATGTGCATGTATGTTAAAAGTCTGAATCAACATTCATTATTAATTAGGAGATACATTTTTCCTCAACACTTTCAACTTTTGTTTGGTTTTGATCGAGGAAAAAATTCAACTCAGCAGTTATGTGAAACAACTGGTGATAATGAATTATTTCCATATTTTGATTAGACTATTGATGGATTTGTAGCAATTGTTTCAGATGCTAGTTTATTCTTTATTTATAATAGTTTCATAATTCTTAGCCAGTCATCTAAACATTGTTGCATCACTATTCGTTTAGGAGAATTGACCATCTCAAGCTAAAAACCATTATTTGTCTGTATAAATAGAAACCAGATTTTATGATCCTTTACGGTGAACAGTAGTTATTTTAAAATAAACAGTGCATTCCTAAAAGAGATTAAGCAGATTTTAGATAATCTCAGGTAGCACTGTACAATCAATAAAAGCAAGAACACTTGAAAGGCCATTTCTACAGTTTGATATTATCCAAAACCAGTTTTAATTACATTTCATGATTTAATACTTACACTCAGAAACAGTCTCTGAAGAAGCCAAGAGACAAGAATTAGATCTTAAAATATCTGTCCTCACTGCTATTTAATGTTAATAACGCAACAATGTAAATACTCCTATTAAGCTGTATTCTCCTTTTGTCAACATTATTATGGATTGACCACATTCAAAAGAAACTTATTTGGCAGTCATCTGTTACTATCAATTTCAGAGTGTGCATTTTCTTTGTACCATGTCAACCAACTACTCTTTAAGTAACTAAGGGCAAATAAATCTCGCAGCCTTAAACAAAAGATAACAAAGTGTGGAGCTGGAGGGACACAGCAGGCCAGGCAGCATCAGAGGAACAGGAAAGTTGATGTTTCGGGTCGGGACCCTTCTTCAGAAAAAAAGCACTTAATTCAACTCGAATGATAAGAGTTCTATCCTATCTTTTGACAAATGAGTTGGAATAATAATGTAAATTCAACTGAGCTGATAGTAAGCAATTACATTTTTTATGAGGCGATGGAAATTAGGAAATCATCTCAGTAGGTTCTGCAAAATGAGCTTGGATGTTTTCCAATACTAATTTATCAAATGCTTGTCAGATTAAAATGAATTTTGGAGATTTCTTTCAGAAATTATCACTATAAACATTTAATCGATTAGTGGTGAATGCATGTGTAGCATATTTGGGATATATTTTCTGACTGTGATATATTCTGATATCATTAATTTAAACCAAGGAAAAGTCAGGCAGATACTATTCTGGCCTTTTGATAATTTTTCATTGGTTGTGTGATGTTTCATATACTAATATTTAGCAAAGATATTAGTATCTCTAAGTTTCCCCATCACTGACTTTAGGCTGACCTCCCTATTTAAACGACATATATAATCTTCAATTCTTCCAGTCCTCAGCCACCACTCCCATAAGATTATGGCTAGGCCTTTCATGATTTCCATGCTTACTTCCCTTACCAAACCAGGATGCATTCCAACTGAACTGGGTGACTGGTCTACATTGATTACTGTCAACATTTTAAACAACTCCCTTTTATTTATCCAATTTATTTGCTACTTCCTTCATTTATTTGATGTTGGCAGTATCATCTCAAGCACTCATTTAATATCTCAGTAGACCTTGGCCTTCATGAGACAATCTCTGTTTATGTCCATACTCTTTCCCAAATCATTTTTGACTATTTATATACTTAGAAGATTTTTAATGCGGTCATCCATTAATTTATTCTCATGTACTCTCCTCACACCTCTTATTTCAATACCAGTTCTGTTTACTTTCTGCACACTGCTTGGTTATCCACTGTGTTCTTAGATTCATGTTTATCCAATGCCTTTTTCATTTTTTTTTGTCTCTTAATTATTTGATAGTACAGAACTTAAATATTGCAGAAAAAGCAGATATTGTTGAAGTTTTTTGTTGTGCAATCATCAGAGCTTTGGCAAGAAGACTGATATGAAGAACAGCAATATTTCATAGTGTAGGTGAGAATGATGAGTACAAGATGAAAAGCTTCAAGAAAAATTCTCTTTTTCTCGGCAATACTTTGTATCTTTAGCAATCCATAGAACTCGTAACTTTGGATGCCCTGTTGTTTCTCCTTGTGGGATATATGTTCTCTGTACTGAAACACTGAAAGTTCCCATTGCACATATGCTGCTTTGTTTTAAATTCATCAATGGGATGTGGTTGCCACCGGCAAGGTAAGCATTTATTGCCTATTCTAATTTCCCTTAAAAAAGTGGTGGTGAGCTGTCTTTTTAATGACAACTGAATGGCTCTCTTGGCCATTTCAGAGCATGTTTAAGAGTCATTCACTGGAAGCTTTAGTTGTAAGTAGGCCAGACTTGGTAAGGACAGTATATTTCCTTCCCTAATGGACATTATTGAACCAAATGCTGTTTTACAACAATTTCATGTCTCTGTTACCTGGACTAACTTTTAGTTCCATACTAATTTGCTTTATTTTAAATCACCAGCTGCTGCAATAGGATTGGACCAGACCTCTTGACTCCAAGTCCAGTAAGATCACTTTTCTGCTACACCCTTTTCACCCACCAACCTACGATTACAATACAAATGGGCCAGATCCATTTCTTTAACACTTGAAATTAGACCTCCTGCAATTAGACTCTGCAACATGTGAATCTCCTTTCTACCTTTCTATATTAGAATCACAATTACCTAAATGCCTTTCCTGCAGCAATACACTCCATTTCCCTCTCTTCACTTCCCAGAATTGGATTCAGTTTGATATTTCACTTGCCTAGAAACACACTGATAATTGTTTTCTTGTGGGAACTTGTCTCCACCTTCTTTGGTTCATGGTGGTAATAATGGATTTGTTTGACTGTTATGGTGGTTCCAGATAAATTACAGACTTGTAGGAAAAGGGGCCATAATAGTGGATTGGCTTGATGGGCCAAGTGATGTTAATGATTTCTTGAGGCATTTATTTTCCAAAAATAATACTAAACATATTAATTTGGGAACCAGTCTCAGTGACTCACTGCAAAGAAACATATCATTTGATACGACTTTTTATTTGTTTTTCCTACTTAAATAAACTTGAATAAAAGCAGGAAATACTGGAGAAACTCAGCTGTTTTGGCATCATCTGTAGAGAGAGAGAAACAGAATAAAGTTTGGAGTCCAAAAACTTCCTCAGAACTCAGTTTCTCAGTTTAATTTGAGGTCAGTTCAGAAGAACAGTGGTACCCCAACTCTGTTTCTCTCTCCACAGATGCAGTCAGATCTGCTGAGTTTCTCCAGTATTTTCTATTTTAGATTTCCAGCATCCATAGTATTTTGATTTTTTTTTTAAGAAAAGTCAAAACCTTAGTCTGCTGATAAAACATTTGGCTTTCGTCATTCCACACTGGAAGAAACGGTTGTGCTTAAAGGTAAATTATTATTTTTTTTCTCAACAATTTTAAGGAGCATTTATTCGAGTTGTTGTTTTAAACAAGCTACATTGGCGGCTAAAATGGAACAGACCGTCATGGTATTTGATGTTATTGACTGAGGAGTGGGGAGAGGGTTTTGCACCTTTAAGGAAACTGCCTTTTCGAGCACAGTCTCTGCTCCGCGTTTCTGTAGCAACAGTGAATTGAGGTTCAGACAATCTGAAAAGCCGAGTGAACATGTTTGCAGAAGCTACGGCTTCAGACATAGCCAGGGTCGGTGTCTTAATCTGCTGTTAAAACTTTACAGTTTGTTTTCCCCCCAATTCACTTATCTGTCTATTGAAAAAAAAAATGTTTTTCTCTCTCCGTGTTCTCCGACAGAGAAACTCCTAGGAGGGACTAAAGAGAGTTGTTTAAACTGCTGGGGGAGTAGTTTCTTTCGTCCCTCGACTTACGATAGGCTTCTGGGTGAATGAGTGGGTGAATAAAGGGATTTCCAAAGCTCGGTGCACAATAGACAGACAAAGAGAGAGAGAGGGAGGGAGGGAGAAGAAGAAGAAGAAGAAGGAGAAGAAGAAGAAGAATAAGGAGAAGGAGAGCTCCGTCCCTGGGCAGCTTGTGCTGGGAGCCCCTGGTGCTCTGGGATGCTTCATCCTGCGGTCAGTGCGCGACTCTCCGCAGCCCGAAGCCCCTCTCAGCCGCTTCGCCCGGGCGCTTCCTCACGCCATGAAGCAGCGCGTCTTCATTCTCGCAATCGGCTCGCTCCTAAAACCCAGGCACTTCCCGGCCAAGGTATTCTTAAGCGTCGTTCACATTTTGACCATCGCAGTTGCAGCCAGCAAGACAGGTGGTGAGTTGCCTGACGTGGCGTTTGTAATTTCTTGCAGTTTTACACTTTTTTTTCAAAAACAAAAGGATTCATGGTTAGAAGGGCTGCTACTCGTCCAGATTGAATGAATGCACACTCTATTCAGTCGTGCAGCTATCAAAACACGTAAAGTTGTGATTGATTGTTGGCGCCCAAAGAGGAATCTAATCCCAACGTTTTAATTGCTTATATTTTCTAACATTCCAGTCAGGAACAAATGCACTGCTGAAAAAACGAACCGTTGCAGCGAATGCCTCCTCCTGGGTCCTGAATGTGGATGGTGTTTTCAAAAGGTGATTTGATTGTTGATGTCTTGTTCCTGATGCATGATTTGTACAATGCATGTTATAGTCCTGATGGGAAATCATTCCAGCTTAAGGGTATACAAATAATGACCCAAATAATAGAAATAATCAGATTCAAAACCAAAGGGTTTATCACTGTGATGTAATTAATTCATGAATAAATAAGGTGTGTGCTTTAAATGGAAATATTTTTGTACAGTACAACACATCTGCTACATTGAGGGCCAATATTAAATGGTTATTCTGTATTACTTCTTAGCGACTTCATTAGCTTTACCCTGTCTATACTGATGACACACAGTTCACCTCACTATTAGACCTGTTGGTCTCAGCATTTACTTTGCTTTGTAATACAACTTGTCTGATTCCAGTGTTCAGACGTTACAGTTCTTCCATTTGGATATCGAGAAGAGTAAAGCATCATCTTTGGTCACTTCCACAAACCCAATCTGCTGAACACTTACTAGGCCACCATCCCAGGCAGAACAAGACAGGTCACAGCCTTAGTGATATGTGGTTCTGAGCTAAACATTTTTCTCCCTCCATCCTCTCCATCCTCAAGATTGCTAACTTTCAAATTTGTCACTTTGTTCATCTGTGCTTTCTCCTCACCTCATGTGTTGCTGACACTTTCAGCTATACCTTTGTTATCTCTAAGACTTAACTATTTTGATACATTCCTGCCTTGGCCCCATCTTACAGCCTTTGAAAACCTGACCTCATATACTACACTGCTGTTTGGCCCTAACATACACTAAGTCATGTTCACCAGTCACCCAATATTTACTGTAAACACTGGCTGTCAGCCCAGCTACACCTTGTTGTCCTTGTCATCAAATCCTTCATGGCCATACTGCTCCCTATTTTTTTAACTTCCTTCAGCAATATAACTCTGTGAGACTTCTGCACTCTTCTTGGCTTCCTGCCTTTCCTCAATTTCCTTTGCTTCATGATTGACAGCTGTAACCTCAGTTCCCTAATTGTTAAACTGTGGAATTACGCTGCCAAACCTTTTCATCTCTTTAAAGATCCTCATTACCTCTTTGATCATGCTTTGGGTTCAATGTCCCAACATTTCCTTGTATGGCTGGTTGTCAAATTTTGTTTTATAATTACTCTTGTGAAATGTCTTGGGATGTATTAATATTTAACACTTGTATAAACCCTGAAGACGTTTAGGGACAATTTAGATGAGCACTTGAAACACAGTAGCATTGTGTCCCTATCTCTGAGCCAGGAGGCCTGAGTTCAAGTCCCAACTACTCCAGAGATGTGTCATAAAATCACTGAACAGGTTAGTTGGAAAATGCAAAGCCACAGACCAAATGCTGGGAATTTGGAGTAGAATAGATTAATGTTTGATGACCAGTGGAGGTATAATCAGCCAAAGGGCCTTTTGTATTATAAGAACTTTACAACTCTGTGTTAAATGTGCTGTATAAATATTGTTGGCTTCACTTTGAGATGGTAATCATTAAAGTTAATGAAGAGTGATTAGTGAATAAACAAAAAAAATAGTAGGGAGGCATTTTATGTACATATCACAATAAATTATCATTAATCTTAGATTTTCAGTCGTATTGCATTATAATATCTAAATATTTTGCACTTCAGGATTTTTCTGATAAATCACTGCATAGATGTGACTTGGTTACCAATCTAATTGAAAAAGGCTGCAAATCAGATTTCATTGAATTTATTGAAGTCAAAAAAATAATAGAAGAAGAATCACAAAATTCCCAGCTGACTCCTGGAAAAGTCTCTTTACAGCTGCGACCAGGTTTGAATCTTAAGTATTTTGTCTCATAATGTGGACAGCATTTATAAAATGACCGAGCACATTTTTTTTACACTGTGGCTAATGTTGCTATAGTTTGCACATGTCTTATTTTTTAGCTTCACTTTTCTTATTGAAAGGTTTTAATGTCTAGGAGTAATTCTAAAGAACGTGAAGAGTATTCCATAATGTTGCAAAATAGTACTGTGCATGTTATAGCAAGTTTTATGAATGCTGGAATGGATTACTAAGTTTTTTTTTGCCTTTACACAATGTTTGTTATTTTGTATTCACTTGTATTTACTGAAGCAATCATGCTTTGTCTTGTTACTAATATTCATTAATTGTAATTGATGCAACTACACCGATGACTGTAAAAAGAAAAAAAAAGTTGCATTTTCAGTTAAAAAAGAAAACCAATATTATGATTTGCATCATTTTGAATTTAAAAGGATAATTTTCACAGCAAGAGTGAGAGAGAAAAAACCCTAGTCTCTTGTTTTATCCACAGAAAAATTGCATAAATACAATCTTGTACTTGAGTGTATAGTGGATGATTACAGTGCCTGCTCAGTCTGCCTCTGGATTCCCATCAGTCATTTTTAATATCCAGTTTTCATTTGCACACTCCCAACAAGCTGTGAATGCAGCTTGGACATGTGTCATATTTCTGGGACACTTTGCTATCTTAAAGATATTTTTATGTATTCAACTTGCTATATTTGTTAAGCAGCATCATTGAAAAGCCAAATCAGAAATTTTCTCCTGGATTGAGGTGGAGGGCTGACAGTGAGACAGAAGATTTTGGGGATCAGGAGAAATGGAAGATCTGTCTCAACAACAAAAAAAGTGCTTTTTTTCTTTGAAGCATCCACAAGAAAAATATCCTAAGCCACCATTTCCGCCACCTCCAACAGGATGTCACCACTAGACACCTATTCCCCTCACCTCCCTTGTCAGCATTTCGCAGGGAATGGTCCCTCTGGGACACATTGGTCCACTCCTCCTCCACTCCCAATACCTCCACATACCCCTGTGGCAGCTTCCCATGCATTTGCAGAATGTACAAGACTTGCCTGTTCACATCCTGTCTCCTCACTGTGCAAGGTTACAGACACACGTTCCAGGTGAAGCAGTGATTTACCTGGTCCTCACTCCATCTAGTCCACCGCATTTGCTGCTCACAGTGTGGTCTCCTGTACACTGGAGAGATGAAACATAGATGCTTTGCAGAACACTGATGTTTTGTCAGTACAAATGACCCTGAGATTTCAGTTGCCTGCCACTTCAACACACCGCTGTGTGTCCTTGGCCAACATTTCTGTCTCTCAGCGTAAGCAGAAAGAACAGCATCTCATCTTTCACTTGGGGAACCTGCAGCCTTCAGGACTCAATAATCCAGTTCAATAGTTTTAGAGCCTGAGCACCTCCTTCTATGTCCTTTACCCACCTCCACACTCGAGGCCCTGTGATGATATGGTGCTTTCAGCACAACCAACCCATTTTTCACCTACTGATTGCCCCATTATCAGCTTTTTCTTCTTTCCTGGCTTGCTGTCAACCTTCCCTTTGTCTAACTTTTACCTCTCTCTCTCTCTCTCTCTCTCTGTGTGTCTCTCTCTCTGTGTCAGGGCTTGTTCTCCATTTATCTGCTCCACCACCACTCCCTGTCATCAACATAAATGAACTTTTCTGAGCTACTGTCAGTTCTGAAGAAGAGTCTCTGGACTTAATATGTTAACTCTGCTTTCTCTCCACAGATGCTGCCAAACCTGCTGACTTTCTTCAGCAGTTTCTGTTTTGGTTTTACTATCTCCAGCATCTGCAGTTCTTTGTTTTCTAAGGTTCATGTTTTGTTTAAAATTAGCATATCATTTTTTGTAAACAGCCCCCAGTGGTCTGCTTTGTTAAATCTGTTGATAAGAGTAAGTAGGGGGTGCATACTCAAAATATTGGAACATTACAATTGTGTCAGCTTACATAACCATAGTAGTGCCCTTATTGGCATGTTACAAATAAGGTCCTCCCTGAAACAGACAGTTGGCTGGGCCATCCTGCTGAAGGCCTTCCAGGGTTGGAAAATGAACCAGTAAATGCAATGCTGTGATTTTTCATCCACAGCCATTCTGTTTCCCCCAAATGAAAGTCGTGAAAATTGATACCTTTCGGTCACCACATTACTTTTATCAAACTGGGTCTGCAATACCATAAAAAGTACAGTTTATTCAACTTCATAGGCTAAATAAATGAAAAAGAAAATAGTGCATCAGAGAATATGTTATATTGATAGAAATGCCAAATTATGTTTTAAAAACCACTAGGATATTCATGGGTATTCTGCCAATCTCTAATTGTGGTCTAGAGTTTTGAAGAATTTAGTTGTCCTCATCTCTTTTTGGAGATAGGCTGTTTTTGCCTTTAGGAGAAAGGGAGTGGGATATGAAGAGAGTAGAAATCTAAACCCAGCAGGACTGTTTGAGCTCAATGCTAAGTTCAAATAGACCCCCTTTGCACTTGAGCGAGTGCCTTATTTCACAATTTTTAAGTTCAAGTTCTTTGGAATAGACATATGTTCATAAAACGTGTATAATGTCTGCGACAATCTTTTACCTTTGAAGTTATTTAAATCCCCTGCCTTTTAACTTCTGGAAAAATCCTCAGTGTTAATATCTGTTTCTTGACATCGACTTAAAGGCATTATTATAATTAAAATGCTTCTGCAATATGCCAACACTATAGGTTTAATTCAACAGAGTGACAAATGACAGCTTTGGGGTATTATTATTGGACTGTTAATCCAGAGACCAAGGCAATGTTGTGGGGACCCAGGTTGAAATCCCACCACAAAAGCTGGCAGAATTTGAATTCAAATCATTAAGAGTGTATTGATGACCATGAAGCCATTACTGATTGATGGGAAAAAAGAACTCTCTCATTAATGAGAGAGATAGTAGGAACTGTCGATGCTGGGGAATCTGAGATAACAAGGCATAGAGCTTGATGAACACAGCAGGCCATGCAGCATCAGAAGAGCAGGAAAGCTCCATTTCTGAAGAAGGGTCCAGACCCAAAACGTCAGCTTTCCTGCTCCTCTGATGCTGCTTGGCCTGCTGTGTTCATCCAGCTCTACACCTTGTTAAATCTCATTTAATGTCCTTTAAGGAAGGAAACTGCCATCCTTACTGGGACTACATGTGACTTCAGACCCACAGCAATGTGGTTGACTCTTAACAGCTCTCTGGGATGGACAATAAATGCTGGTCTGGCATGTGGTTCCGTCATCCTGTGAATAAATGAATTTAAAAAAAAATTCCAGGAGCTTAATGAGAGATCAGATTTTTTGTAGGGTTATAAATGCAAATGTTTCTTTTTATGAAATTAAGCACAGGAGATTGATTCGCTATTGTCACATGTACCAAAACACAGTGAAAAGTATTGTTTTGTGTGCTATACAGGCAGATCATACCATGCAAAAGTGCATCAGCGTAGATTACACTGCAGAGAAGGTGCAGAGAGAGAGATCAGAGTTAACATTTGAGAAATCCGTTCAAAAGTCTGATAACAGCAGGGAAGAAGCTATTCTTGAATTTATTCATTTGTGTACTCAAACTTTTATATCTTCTGCCTGATTGAAGAGGGTGGAAGAGAATATAACCGGGATGGGAGAGGTCTTTGATTATGTTGGTTGCCTTCCTGAGGCAGCGGGAAGCATAGATGGATCAATGGATGGAAGGCTGGTTTGCGTGATGGGCTGGGCGAGTGTTCACGACTCTGTAATTTCTTGCGTCTTGGGAAGAACAGTTGCCATACCATGCTGTGATGCATCTGGATTCCACGCTTTCTATGGTACATCTATAAAAATTGGTGAGAGTACTTGTGGACATGCTGAATTGCTTAGCCTTGTGAGGATGCAGAGACATGGTTGTGCTTCCTTGACCATTGCGTCAACGTGGGTGGAACGGGACAGATTGTTGGTGATCATCACTCCCAGGAATTTGTAGCTCTTGATCATCTTCCCCCTCAGCACCATTATTACAGACAAAAATATGCCCTCCATTCTGCTTCCCGCAGTCAATAACTAGCTCCTTTGTTTGCTAATGTTCATAGAAATATTGTTGTCTTTACACCAGGCTGCTAAGCACTCAATCTCTTTCCTGTATTTTGTCTCATCGTTTTTTGAGATCTGACCTACAATGGTGGTGTGGTCAGTTAACTCAATGGAGTTGGGGTGGATTCTGGCCACTCGATTGTGAGTGTACACGGAGTATAGTAAGGGGCTCAATGTACAGTCTTGTGGGCCGTCAGTTTTGAGGATTATATTCGAGGAGGTGTTATCACCTATTCTCACTGATTTGCAATCGATGGGTCAGGAAGTTGAGGATCCAGTTACAGAGGGGGAAAGCCGAGATCTAGGTCTCGGAGTTTAGAGATGTATTTGCTTGGAATTATGGTGTTGAAGGTGGAACTGTAGTCAATAAGTACAGCCTGATGTAGGTATCCTTCTTATCCAGATGTGCCAGGAATGAGAACTGAAAGATGCTGTAAATCAGGAACAAAAACGAAGTTGCTGGAAAAGCTCAGCGGGTCTGACAGCATCTGTGAAGGAAGAAACAGAGTTAACGTTTCGGGTCCGGTGACCCTTCCTGAGGAAGATGGATAGAGGCAGGCCGACTAAAAGGCCCAGATGAGCAGACCCCCTGGTTATTTCTGAAATGTTTTCAGGGGCTATAGTCCAACTCCAGTACACACCTGTCCTCTGCCCTAGGAACAAAGATCCTGCAACTTGGGCACTATCTTTCTGAACTGGAAAATTCCCTGACTCCTTGCATCCAATTCAGACCTTCAATTTGGAAGGGAGATCAGAAAATCTAATGGAATTATGGAAATTATTTAGCTGCTGAAGTGTCGAGTTCTATCTCGATTTCTTTATTAATGTAAATTAAATCAGCATGGGTTCATATGGGTCTCATTTAAGAGACTGTAGATATGATGGCTCCATTATTTTGTGCTTTTGTTAAAGTTATTCTATTGGTAACAAAAACAAAGTTGCTGATAAAGCTCAGCAGGTCTGGCAGCATCTGTGAAGAAAAAAATCAGAGTTAATCTTGTCTTCACAGATGCTGCCAGACCTGCTGAGCTTTTCCAGCAACTTTGTTTTTGTTCCTGATTTACAGCATCCGCAGTTTTTTTCAGTTTTTATTCTGTTGGTAACCTGAAATCTTTTGCATTATTGTAATATATAGCTACTTGGACAGCCTGCCTGTGTAAGATCTTTGATGAGCTACTGTCTTCCAGGAATAGTCAGAATCGGCGTACTTAAAACCCATTAGAAGCTAACTTCTGTTCTGGAGAGAGGTTCTTTTGATGACAACATTTGTTACTCTTCTCAAAGTTGTAGGAAACCATCAGGAAATGATTGATTCACTTTCTGTATGTTAATGATAGTTCAGTTGTGGGTTTTTTTTGTTGTATAAATACAGACTTTTGGCCAGCAAAATGTACGCGTGACACATGACAAAATCGATCATGTGTGCGTTGGTACTATGCATAAATAGAAATAAGTAGCATTGAAAAAAGAGAATTTGTGTGCAATTCTTGAGTTTTTGTTCACTTATTATTTGTGCTAATACATATGTTGGATAATGCTGTTTTGTGAAGATTTCTGTTTTTGGCTTCTGTTGTTGAATGTCTGCCAAGCAGACTTTGCGCCAGGGAGTCTGAAATGGAATCACAGTGTGAACTGATGGGTCCATATTGGCATTGGGAATTTGTTTCAAGTGAATCTGTTATGCTGTGTGTTTTGTGCAGACAGCTGAATGGGGCCCTATTGTCTCTTCCTTATCTCCTGTTCTTCCTCCTCCTGAGGTGACATCTGTGTTGTAGGTGTCAGTGGTCACACGCTAACATTGGCGAGGTTCTGGAGGACCCAGCACATCTGCACAAACTTGGAGACTGTATCTGGCACGCCCTGCAGAATCATAAGCCTTTCCATCCTGATTGTGTCTCCTCAGAGTGGAGAAGGTGCAGCATCTTCATTTGGCACATGCTACTTCTGTTGTCTCCTAGATGCCTTGATGAACACCAATGTACTATGAACTTTGATGCATATTTGTAGTGTTCCTGCTGCTGCCTGGAAGGGTCAAACTGTGGAAAAAAGTACTGAGGGCAGCGGTGATCTTTGTGGTCAATGGCACAAATCCATGACTATCTCCTTGGCATTGCTGAGAAGCCTTATTCCTATTCAAGTTTAGAAGTGTTCATCCCAGGATGCTCATGCTGGGGAGGCCTTCAATTGAGAGCTTTGCTTCTCCTCTCTTCTCGTAGATCTTCCATTCCTTATCTGTTCCTTTCCATCTCCTGGTAATGTTTCACGTCAAGTGGCACTTCAATAACTGCTACATATTGCCTGGCTCCAGTACTCCTCTCAGTGATTGTTTCCAGGAGCTGACCCCTGTGCTTTTACAAACTCTGGCTGAGCAGAAATAAGTCAAAAGCACTTTGCCTGTAACATGTTATCTTTTAAACCATCTTAATACAGAGTTTACCTTGCCTATCTGTGCTTGTGTTTTCTAGAGGGATGCGTGATTTTATTGCTGGAATTAGCGTTGCTTCAACTTGGGAGTCCTGGCAATAAAACAGCAAGTTTTACAGATGCAGTAGACACTTCTGCATGTGCCCTTGCAACACCACACGTATTTCGTAGGAAGTGGCCGGTAGCACAGGCCACACGACAAAGTGGTGCAGGCCTCTTTAACATCATTTTCTGCAGTGCTACGCAATGCAACATTTTGCTGATAGTTTTCTCAGGAATTCTGAGCACTGAAATGTGCTATTACTTCGTTGAAGTTTCTGTGCTGTATGAAATGCTTCATCAGCATTTTCTGTGCTAATTGAAATGCACATAGGAAGACAGTTTGGGAAATTTCACTGGTGATACAGCTGTTTTATTCAGAAACCAAACAGGCACATAAGTATCCAGTATGGTAGGCAGGATTCATTGTGAGCCTGAAATGCATCCTAATAGACTGTACCCACCCCCCCTCCCCATTGGTGTGCAGGGCCTATGTTAGTCCTGTTCAAAATAACAACTAAAATGTTCAAACTATGGTACAGCATTTGTTATGGGACACTTTCTGATATTAATAAGCCAAGTGCTTACTGTTTCAGTAAATTTTGGAGCCATATAAGGGCCTCTTCAGCAGCACTAGAGAACTCAAAAGAGCGGGTAACAATCATTTCAAACCATCTTATAATAGAGCCAAAGCAGGACAAGAGACTGCTCAGGAGCCTTTGTTTAACAGTTACAGAATAAACACATGGGTAACACGTACACACTGTTGCTTCCGTATCTGTAAATGTTATAAGGACGTTTTTACAAAGGTCTTCCTTGAGCTTCTATCAGGAAATCATGATCAAGTTTATGGTTTATTGCATCAATCTGGGAGGGCTATTAGAAAATAGAGGTGAAAGATATAATCGTTGTACAAGGTTGTTCACTAGGGTATATATTCAGCCACTTTTTTTGTGAAGGAAAGTAACGCTTGTATTTCAGTTGATCTTAGAAGTTTATAAGAAGCTACAATTACTGTTTGGATCACTTCCCCATTCAAATTATTTGAACAAGTGACCTTTATGGATGGGTTAGGTCAACTACTAAACGCTACAACTCAACTCCAGACCTCGGGCTGCCTCTGAGGAACATCATGCACTATTCACTAGTAGAGCTAAAGCTTTATCAATGCTAAAGATAACTCCTATGGGAATGTGCATAGAATTGAAGTATCAGTGTAAAAACTGTCAAAATACGACTGTACACTCCTATGGTTTATCTCTGTACCACAATTTTTATATCAATAAGTTTCCCCTGAACAGAAAAAATAGATTTAAAGTCCTTTACTTTATTTCTCAGAAACTAAAATTGCTTTCAGATTCCTAACATTTGCAACTTTCTCCATTTTCTGTCACAAATGTCCTCTGCTTGTCGATAACATTTTATTTTTTTTTTAACAGGCAGTGAGACAAGTTTTACAGTGAAAGTTCAGCAACTAAACAAATATCCAGTGGACCTGTACTATTTGGTTGACACATCAGCGTCAATGGTGGCTAATCTGGAAAGATTACACTCAATGGGACATTTTTTATCACAAAAAATGGCAAAATATTCCAGTGATTTCCAATTTGGATTTGGATCATTTGTTGATAAGCCAGTGTCTCCATTTATTAACATTCATCCAGAAAAACTTATTAATCCTTGCAGGTAATAGTGCTGCCTGTTAATGTGTTTAATAACATTTTTATTTATTATCAAAATATCTACTTATGTTTTTATTTCTTTTAAATGCAGTATTTATGAAACATCCTGTCTGCCAGCACATGGGTTTAAGCATGTATTATCTCTGACTAATAATATAACTGAATTCAGAAAAGCTGTGGAGAGACAAAGAATCTCTGGAAATGAAGACACACCAGAGGGAGGTTTGGATGCAATGCTACAAGTTGCAGTTTGTGAGGTGAGTGTTTTGTTGCACAGAGCCAACCAACTGATGTTAAAGAGATAACAAGGTGTAGAGCTGGATGAACACAGCAGGCCAAGCAGCATCATAGGAGCAGGAAGGCTGACGTTTCGGGCCTAGACCCTTCATCAGAAATCAGGTAATAGCTGTTGCCTGTTAATGTGTTTAATAACATTTTTATTTATTTTCTGATGAAGGGTCTAGGCCCGAAACGTCAGCCTTCCTGCTCCTATGATGCTGCTTGGCCTGCTGTGTTCATCAAGCTCTACACCTTGTTATCTCAGATTTTCCAGCATCTGCAGTTCCTACTATCTCTGATACAATCAACTGATGTTAAAGCTTCTTTTTTGCCAAGTAAACTCAGATTTATCTAAATATGAAGAATCTATTTACATTTTGTTACATGTACTAAATGGAATTTCATGCCTTCATCCTGACCTTCATCCTAATAGGCCTCCCAGTTATCACATTGGAAACCACCTAAATATGAATTTCTTTGAAGCATTCAGTAACCACTTACGAGATTACAATTTATTGTTCTAAGGATATGGAGCATAAAAGACTTTGTGGCTGAATTTCTTGAATTGAATCATTATAACTGTATTGACTTAAAGTAACCAAAACAATGGTGCTTATTTTCCAGTTATATTTGTTTGATCTCATTTTTAAAATTCTTTCAATTCCATTCTTCATGCACTTCAGTCTAAATCTAATCTATTATTATCCTTATAGCAAAAATAATAAAATCTTGTGGATGTTTTACGATTTCTTGGCCTAAATGGTTTTTTGGCTGTATTGCAGTATGAACAATGGGTTCTCAAAAATAGGCTCAAACCTCTATTTAAAGTTTTAAAAAAAAAATCTGCTGTAATTGTTTTTATGGTAATACCACAAATAACAACAATTTCTAGTTCCCTGAACCTTAGATATAGCACAACATTTCAACTATAATTTTACCCTTTTCTCTTTGGAAAGTTGCCATTGAATCATTAGGGAAGATTAGAAACAAAATGGCATGAGTTCATTTCCAGGCATGTACCCAAAGCCACCTGATTTTTAAAATAATGGTCATGTTGAGAAGTACATTGAACCTGGGTGCAGGTCTTAAAAATTTTTCCTGATAACGTAGAAAGAGACCATTCAGCCTAGTATTTATTTGCTCTCTTCATAGAAAGACCAATGCTTAATCACTTTTTTTGCTTGTCTTTTACACACAGTCTTTGAAATGTTTCCTTGTTTCCAATATTTGTCCACCTTTTAAAAGCTAATTGAAGTCTGCTTACAGAAATGTAAACCCTAACATGACAGAAAATTCTCCTAAAGGCTCTTTGTTCTTTTGGTGATACTGTTTGATTTATGCCCTCTTGTTGCTGATTCATCAACATATGAGTAACTTCTCTCTATTTACCTATTGAGAATTTTGAACACTTGAGTGAGATATCTGAACGGTTTCTTTTGCTATGAAAAGTGATCCACCTTTTTTGGTCTTTGTGAATAAAACGTTTCATGCCTGCAGTAATCACTTCTCTGCCTCGTCCATTGTCTTTTCATTCAAAATATAATTCCCAAAAAAAGGAAATTCCCTAACTGATGGTTTGTATTCATCATGAATAACCTTTTTTTATTTTACAGTCTACATCCTGACTTAAAAATTCTGTATGGAGCATTGCCATCTTCTTTCAGCCTCAAAGTCTTTCTGTTCATCTATTAATTTCAGTATGAATTGAACTTCTTTCAAAAGATATCACATTCTTGACACTGACTAAATAAAACTCAGATGAAGTTTAATCTTCTAATCTGTCTGTACCCTTCCCCTATTGCTTACAGTTTGCAAATAATTAGAAGTTCTATAAAATATACACAAGATTGGATGTTCCCCGACCCTTCACTTAGTTTCTAGAACTAAATTTAACACTGCCTGTTTGACTAAATGTGTACCTTGGACATAATGCAGGAGCTCCTCTTTGTCATGTCCATTACTCTTGCCCAGTTTGTCTTTGGGTAATTAGATTCACCCATGTATGACCCTGTTCTTTTTCCTAATTTGTCTCCATATTTCATTCTACATCTCTCTTCCAATGTTCAGCTGCTGATGCACTCCAAATAGATGTCCCTTACTATTGCTACTTGTAATTTGCCAAAAAAAAATCAACTTTGACACTACCTCCTGTATCGTTCTTATTTCTTGTAAACAGAATTGATGAAATCACACAGATTTACTCAATGTCCATCTGGATTGGATTCCAGTTCAGTGCAAAGGACACTTGCTGTCATATGGTCATGCAGGAGTCATAGGAAAATAATTTTTTTTGGACAGCCAAAGATGTTCAAAAGGCTTTGCAGTGGATGGAATCAAAGGCTTTTCACAGAAAAATTAAGGCAATGTAAAGCTCTTCATGTTGTTCCAGATGTTTTTCTTGGATTTGCTTTGTGATGGAGACCATTCCAGTGTTCTTTTCTGGATGGCTAGAAACCAGATTGGGTCTGTGGAAGCAAATCTTGACTGATTAGTGGAAGACAATTGAGGAGAATCTTCCCCACCGTGGACAGAGTGAAAATGTCTCTAAAATTCCCAGAAATTGCTTTTATTTCAATTTGAAGAAATGTTATGGAAAAGTGAAGCAATGATGGAATTGCTGAAGTTGGGACATAGTACCTCCTGTTCGTCCTGTACTTTTGTAAAAAGGTTTGAGATTTTATGATCACCTCCTCTGTGGATAGAATCGTTTGAATCCCTACAATGTGGCAGCAGGCCATTTGGCCCACCGAGTCCACACAACCCCTCCGAAGAGCATCCCACCCCTACCCTATCCGTGTAACCCTGCATTTCCCATGGCTAATCCATCTAACCTGCACATCCCTGAACACTATGGCCAATCCACCTAACCTGTACATCTTTGGACTGTGAGAACGTGTGCCTTATTGGCTTTGTCTGGGATTTTGTACCAAAGTCAACTAAGAAGACCTCGTAGAATATGAGTTCACTGATTATGGCTGTTAATCTGTTCTAATCAGGAAGCCCTGCTGACAGCTAAGAACATGAGTACCAGGCATCCTTTTCACTCTGAGAGCTGGCTCTGAGGGAGCTGGATCAATGACAAGGACAGTCCATGTGTAAATAAAGGGTGACTTGGTGTTGGGATACCAGGTCTGTGGAGTTATTTCAGATATTATTGATTCTTGATTGAGAAGGCTTCAGTAGTTCTCAAACAGTCTTGAACTGAGGTATTTTGAGCTTCAGCTTGGCAGAGGTAGAGAATGCAGAGACTGTTTTTTTTTTATGAATCAATACATGATCCTGCTGGCCTGAAAGAAGTATATCTCCTGCAACTCTGCAGAGCATTGGACTTCATTAGTCTTCTCTTACCACCAGTTATTTTGTTGTACTAGGATATTCTTATTCTTCTCATTTGCTCAAATTTGAACAAACATGGATATGGAGCACATTTGTGATGAACTTGTACAATGGGCCATCATTCAATTTAGACTCAATGGAAAGTTTTTCAACTTCAAGAAGATGAGAGCCCAGACTTGGGTAATGATCCAGCTCATCCACAATTTGCACGACATGCAGGCATGGCCCATGCTGCTGGTAGTATTCAGTCAACTCTCAACCTCTCCAACTCTTTACATACAAGAGCTAGTCTGTCACTTGGACCATCAGCATGATGAAAATCCTTCAGCAGCTTATCCTGGAAAAGCACCAACATCTCTAATTTTTGTATTAATAGGAAGACTGTAGAAGCTGTTTAACACTTCACGTATCACAGCTATTACTTTTCTCAACAGGGCACCATCAAAGAGGATAGCAGGCTTGACAGACTGAATGTCCTACTCCCGCTCCTATTTTCTATAGTTCTATGTTTAGAATCAGCTGCCACAATGCAACCTTCCAAAAATTGCAAAACTAGCCTTCACCAACAGGGATTTCCATTCGAGGACATAAACCTTAGTCTACAATGTTGTTATTGTTGTTGTTGCTGCTGCAGCCTACTTTCTATGAGAGTGAGCCTACCAACGGCATGTGCAGGCACTGGATAATTTTCACCAACCAAATCTCCACAAGAAACACAGTCGAGTAGAAAATAAGAAAAACAAACTCCAGCATCCTCCAGAAGCCCAGTCCTCCAGTATCACTGTTCACTACACTGGTCTGGGCACTGTGTTTACATGTCATACTTCTGAAGCAGCACCTCTTTTCACAACGTGGGCGTGGAACTCAAACTGGAGGAGGATTGAGAAAATATTTTAATAACACTCAGAAAATTTATTTGAAAAGGGGACGGACGGATATCTGTGTGTCAGAGCAACTTGTTGCAAATGGAACTCTGTGGCAATCTTTTGAATGTATTTCTGCATTCAAGAAGTCACACCATAGTCTAATTCTGACTGCATAAGCTGCAGAGAAGTGGCATAAGTGGGAGGAGAGAAAGCAAAACTCAGGCTTGAGAATCCCCCTTCCTCAGGGCAGTTCTGCTCAAAGGCCTGTGGCTCCAAAATTGGTTTGCCAATTTCAACTGAGGACAAAAACCATGAAGTTTGGTAGATTTGAGTTTTGAGGGACCGACAATGATGACAACATCAGGAATCTCTCATACTATCAATCTTCTTTTTCCTAATTTTTCTCCCTCTTTTATAATGTAGCCCTGGACATTTAGCTCTCAATCCTGCATTGGCCCAAGCCATTTCTTTTTTAGTTGACATTCACTTCATTTACTGTATTTACTTCACATAGAAATGTGTGTCTCCAGTAAGGACATTGGTCCCAGTCATGCTTAGATGAATCTAATGCATTCTGTGTACATTGCTTGTATTCTGGAACCGCTCTGATTGTCATGGAAATGGGATTTTTTTCCATCCTGCACCATTTCTCTAGCCATTGTGTCATGCATTTTTCTTCATAGGAAGAATCCATCACAGCTTAGACAGTCCAAGAGAGTTTTTCACTTCAAAAAGCTGACTCTTCCTATCTCTTAAACAATCCAACTCCCTGGCCTATTCATAGAAATTGAAGGAAATCCTACAGCTTTTACATCTTCAGTTTCAGGGAGCAAAAGGGAATCATTACATGCAATGAGTAACTAATTTTATTCGAAGAAATCTTTTTGCAAGTAGATGTCACTAAGGAAAAGCTGCTATTGTGTAATTAAGGTAGAAGGCTGGGTATGCTGAATGTTGATAGATACTGAATGGACTAATGATCACACATATTAAGCACATGTGAAGTGTGCCCATAACTCTCCTTGAGCATCTGATATTGTTCACGCTGTAGTCACTTTAACCAAAACTGGCCAAATCCCTACATCTCAAAGGCAGGTTTTCACAAATTATGCTCTCTCAGATGGTCATCACAGTGCACCCAGAAACCTGTGGCCACATGAATGTAACATTTAGTCACTGACCAGCAATCAATTGAAGCTGTTAGCCCAGGTCTCTTTCTCGTAGTGCAGCAATTAGTTTAAATTGTCCTCCATTTGATGTATAACAGGCTTGTGGCCAGCTTGCAAATGAATTCACCAATGAGTGTTGCCCTGCAGTAGAAATATCAATTTGTTAATTGAAGATATTAAATTGAATAAAAAGATTTACTTAGCTTGTGATTTCTAGCCTTCTTCTGAAAGAGATGTGATTCCCTCTTACTTTATAAACTGCACCAAGCGCCTTAAAGCCTGATTGGCTGTGTGCTGATCCTAAATAATTATAATGCTGGAGGTTTTACATTCGGGTTTATGTGAATGGGTTTGTGTAAAGCCTTCAGCATAATTTTCACCACTGCAACACTGGAGCAGTGTCCAATGCATTATGGGCATATTTTACAGATGATGTCACAAGCTAACAGATTTTGCCTGTCACTCTGTCACTCCTGTGAGTGAAATTAACAGCATTCAAAAGGATAAAACCCATTAGTCTTTCATGGACCTTGTATTATAAGGTACAAATTGTCCAAGATAACAAGGTGTAGAGCTGGATGAACACAGTAGGCCAAGCAGCATCAGAGGAGCAGGAAGGCTGACGTTTCGGGCCTAGACCCTTCTTCAAATTATTCATTTGTCTTCTCGAAAAGACCATAAGAATGACCATTGTGAAACACAGAAATACCAGTGTGGTGTGACAACACTTTATCTTGGGCTTGTGGTTGAGATATGTTGTGAATATTTTCCACTTCTAAAAACTGGAATGTTAATGTTTACTTTTCTAAATATCAAAAATTTAAAATGTTTCTTAAATTTTCTATTTGTTCGACTTTGGATGCCAGTTAATCCATTCCAATCGAATAATCAGAAACATATATAACAATATTTAATTTATGTCTTTTTAAATGGTTCATCAACTGCCGAACTGTCCATAGCATAACCAAGACTGTAAATCTAGTCTGGAAGATAGAAAACTGTTCAATTTTGCAAGGCATACTTGTTGGTTTTGGGATTTGGAAAGATTTTTTCAAAAAAGCCTTCATACTTGAGTCTCTCTAATCAGTGTTCTGCCTTTGTCACAGTATGGAAATAGACCCTATCAAATTCACAAACGGCATTGTGTGTAACTGTGATAAAAGTCAAACCTCTTCCTCCAATGTTTCTTCATTTATTGTTCAGCTGGGTAGGACAGTATTCACCTCATTGATCAAATTGGACTAGAGAATAACCATCAGTAGCTTCTTCTCCCATTCTGACAGTTATTTCTGGATTTTCCCTGAGAATTAATCTGTGCCCCTTTTATGTTGTCTAAATGCTGTCCTTTTGTCAAGAAGATCTGAAAACATATTAGTCTCCATATATACACCTCATCATTAGCTGCCTTATGCCCTCCGCTGTCTCTGAATTGCCAAACTGCTTATCCAACATTGTATGCTGGATATACGGACGTTTCCTCCTATTACACATCAGGACGATGAAAGCAGTGGTCTTCACTACAAAATTTCATTCCTTTGCTACTTCATTTCTCTTTCTGACAAATATCTGAAGCTGATCCAGACTGTTTGAAACCTTGATGCCACTTTTGACCCTGTGATGAGATTTCAATGACTTATTTGCATCATCACTAAAGCCACCCAGTTTCACCAATGTATCTGCCTGCCTCTGCCCCGCCACAGCTCTGCTGCTCTGCTGAAACCCTCCTCCATGCCTTTTGTTACCTCTTGACATGTTTACCCCATTGCATTTCTTGCCAGCCTCCCTCATACTCCTTTGCATGAACTTGGGATCATCCAAAGCTTTGGTGGTTATGTTTCAACACTGACTTCTGTTCAGCGAGTCGTCTACCACTGTCCCCTTTCCTCCCACTGCTGTGCTTACTGAACTATGCCAACTTCAAGTTAGGCTTTTTAAATCCCTCTTTGACATGACCTTGTCCTTTCTTGCTCTCATCTCCTCCAGCCCCACAACCCTTGAGATTTTTGCAGTTGTCTAATTCCAGCTGTCCCTGAGTTGGCACGCTGAGAGTCACAGGTTGTTTGTTTAAGTCCCACTGTGGGATCCAAACCCAAAAATCAACAATGACCTTCCAGTGCAATATTGAGGGCATCCTAAAATGTCAGTTGTGCTGTACATCAGATGAAATGTTTAACTTAAGCTTGTCAGTGCTCTCAGGCAGACATAAAATATCTTATGGCTGTATTTCATAAAAGAACAAGGCAGGTATCCCAGATGTCCTGACAACCCTTTAACCTTAAACAGCATCACATACAAAATGAGGTTATCAGATCATTATCACAATGTAGGAACATGCTGTGCAAAACTTGCATCCTACATTACAGCAGTGACTGCAGTTCAAAAATATTTCAATGGTTGTAAAATGCCTTAATTAATCTGATGGTTGTGAAAGGAATTTTATAAATGCATGTCTTTTTCTTTTTGAGCATGCCCAATTTTTAATCCCTTCACCATTACTATTTATACTTTGAGCAGCCTAGGCCCTAAGCTCTGGAATTCCCTCATTGAACATCCTTATTTCTCCACATCATTTTCCTTTCTGAACCCCTCCTTAAAATTTATGTCTGTAAACAAGATTTTGGTCATCTGATCCAATATTTCTTTGTGTGACATGTTTTACACTACATCTGAAAAGTGCATTGGAATTAAGGCACAGTATAAATGTACATTATTGTTAATTTTATACATGTAAAATTGAAACTAAAGTGTCTAGTCAAATTCCTATAATTCGAAATCTGAAACAGTGAAATTCACACTTTAGAATTACATTAGCTGCTGCATTGCTTTCTTGGAAATTACATTTTGCTTTTGTTTTTGGCTGATTTTTAGCCTACTTCCTACTTGCATAAGTGGAAAACGTGTTTGATTCCCATGAGGAAGAATGAAACCTACAGTTCAGTTTCTCAGCCGTGCATCTGGTCATATGATGAAAGTGTTAATCATTGGTGGGACAAATGTTTAGTTTCAGCCTGTGTACGTATTCCATGGCAGCCCTTCCCCACGAGCTGAAGCACTGAAGCAATTAATGTAACAATTGTACTAGAATCCATGTTGAACAGATGTTGTGTCAGAGTTTTAACTGTTCTACTGTTGAATACCCTCCAGCATAGTGGGTGAGCTAATTCCTGCAAAATTTTAATTGCTCTATTTTGGAAAACTGATCTGAAATAGTTTGCAAGCTCATTTATAAGACTCACAAGTCTTAATAAGTGATGTGTTAGCTTTTTTAAAGGAAAAAAAAGACAAAAATAACACAGAGAGGGAAAATGTCTGAGATTTCAGTTTATCTCCATCATCCGGGCCAATGTTGCCATTTTTGTCATTCAATGATAGCAAAAAATGCCCTTCATTTTTGTGGCTGATTTGAGATAGCTTTACCCTGCATCTAAACTATGCTGTCCCTGCTGTAGGAATGTTTCATCCGAGTGTTGAGTGCAAAAATGTTAATCCCCAGGCATTGAAAGATGGATTAAAAAAAGTAATTTGCACAATGTAATGCTGTTTCCCAGTGAGGCCACATTACAGTCTAGCAGTACAAATAATTTCTGTATACTTTCTGGTTTATTCAATTTGGCCTTTTCTTTGCTTTAGAGTCAAATAGGATGGCGTAAGGAAGCAAAACATTTGCTGCTGATGATAACTGATCAGCTATCTCACTTGGCGCTTGACAGCAAATTGGGTGGCATTGTCCTACCTAATGATGGGAACTGCCACCTAAAGGACAATATGTACACCCATTCAACTATTATGGTAAGGTAACTTGAGTACCTCTTATTGCTTTCGCCAAATACAGCAACAATATATTGTAGTACATTTATTAAATGTATGTAGAAGATTCCCTTCTCCTGCCAACACTATTTTAGGAATAGTGCAACAATGTAATGATTTTTTGTCCAGAAGTGTCTATTTTTCTGCTTCTAAGGGATTTTTAAAAAGGTATTTACGCTTTCAAAGGATAAAATCGAACATCACCAATTTAGGAGAATGGGGGGGGGACAGTGAGCTGAATTAGCATATAGTCTTTTCACATTGGAGAAACTCGGATTGATCTCTTTGAGGTTGTGTTACTTATTTTTTGAAGTCTCTTGAACTACTTCTGTCAATAGCTGCGTGATAATCTGGACAAGATTAAAAGGTGTGAAGAGGTGTGTAGGAAGTGCAACAGTTTTTGTTTCTCAAGAGAGATTTTTGAATTTTTTTTTAAAGTGCATTTCAGGACTTGCCATTGTTATTTTATGGTTATTAGATACCCAACTGTTGAGTACTGATACTGGACATGCCAGATCTCAAATTGGAATCAGGTTTGATAGACCATAAATTTGTTTCATTTTGTTGTGACAGTCACTCAGTGAACATATTCACAGAGGCTACCAATGCACTTTTAACAAAAGGATATTAAAGTATATCACATAAAAGAAAAATATGAACGATATTACTCAAGAATTTGTGGAACAATCACGTTACAGAATTCCAGTATCTCAAAATTGTTGTGGTGCTCAATAAGCCCATTCAGCCCATCATGCCTGCGACAGATTGAGCATTATAATTTAGTGCCATTCTTCTGTCCCCCTACCTCCATCCCTAAATATTATTTCTATTGTAATAATCATCTGATGTCCTCTTGAATGCCTCAATTCAGTCTGCGTCTCAACCAGTCAACTTAACCAGTCTATCCTTGTAAAAACTTAAGCTGTCAGAGCAGAGGGAGTGCATTCAGCCCATCATGTCTGCTCTGCCATTCAGTGAGATCACGGCTGCTCTGATAATCCTCGACTCCACTTTCCTGTTTTTGCCCCATACCCCGAATTAATTAAAATCTGTCTATCTCGGCCTTGAATACGCTTAATTACCCAGCTTCAACAGCCTTCTGTAGTAAAGAATTCCACAGATTCTCTACCCTCTGAGAAAAGAAATTCTCTAGCTCTGGTTTAAATGGGCAACCCCTTACTGTGAGATTATGCCCTCTGGCCCTAGACTGTCCTACAATGGCATAAAATCTGTATGCACTCACCCTGTCAAGCTCCCAAGACTCATGTGTTTCAATATGTTTCCTCACTTTCTTTTAAACTGCAATATGAACCTCTCCTCACAGGAAAATCCCTCCATATCTGATATCAGCCTAGTGAATTTTTCCTGGACTGCCTCCAATGCCAGTACATCTTTCCTTAGATATAGGAACCGAAACAGTTCAGTGTTCCAGTGTGGTCTGATAAATATTTGTATGGTTGGTAACAAGACCTCCCTATTTTTGTACCCATTCCCTTTGAAATTAAAGTCAAAGATTTCTCATCCTTAGAACCATTCTCATAAACCACTTCTACATCCTCTCCTTCCTGAAATATGGTACTGAGTACTCCAGCTGAGAACTGATAGTATCATGTACAATTCTAGCATAACCTCCATGTTTCTATACTCTGTGCTGTATTAATAATACTCAGGGTACTGTATATTTTAATTGCTTGCTCTGTCTGTGCTGTCATATTTAGTGACTTATGCATATATGCACCCAGGTCTCCTTTATTGTGCACACCATTTAGTGTAGTGCCATTTATTTTGTAATGTATCTTCATGTTCTTTCTATCAAAAAATATCATCTCACACTTTTCTGCATTGAACTCCATCTGTAATCTATCTGCCTAGGCCATCAACCTGTTAATATCCTTTTATAGTTTTACACTGTTCTCCTCACATTTTACAATGCTTCCAACTTTTGTATCATCCACAGACTTTGAAACTGCATCCTGTCCTGCAAGACCTATATCATGTATAAATTGCACTGCTTTTTATATGGCCACAATCCCAGTCTATATTTGGTTAATTAAAAGTTCCTCACTGTAAATACTCTGATGTTTGCAGCTGTCTGTGATTTTCTTGTGGATTTGTTCTGGTTACAAATGTCAGAAAAAAAAAAATCATCCCTTTTACCTGAGCAGTACCATCTCAGAGACTCAAACTACAGCGAAGAGTCGCTCCTATCTCCAAACTAAAGCTTCTAGTTCAAGTGGTATGGCTGTAACCGTTTCCTTGCAGCAATGTATTATGTGTTCATTTGATGCTATACACTTCAGTTAATGTCTCGCCTCAAGACTTTAAAACAAGCTGCTAATGTAGCTCATCTCTTACTTTCATCAGGGGTTCCATAAACTCATGTCTTCAACACTCTCTTGTTGGATGTCTTTGTTTCTGACATTTTTATAATCTTCTGCTTTGTGTATCCTTTTTCTCACTGACTCCCATGCAACTAAGGTCATCAGCGTTGCTGTTTCTGGAAGTCTCCAAGCTGTCAGCTCCCAGCCCTGACAGTTTGGAGACTTAATAACAGCAGCTATGCTGATTTGTGCCTCTTTCTCCCCGTCATGAATCTGCTTCTGGTCCCTTTCAATCCTGTCTTTGATGGATAAAACTCAAGTCAGCAAACACCTTAGCAGTTATCTCCCCACGTTGATTAGTCATTTAGCTGAAATCACATGATTTCTTGTAAGTGGTGTTTTGAAATTGGTGTTCAAAATGACTTTCTGACCTTTACTTTGTGAAAAAAAGGTAGATCTTCGCAGAAGTGGAAACTAAAATTCATGTTTTTTCCTCCAGTTCAAAATCCAAGGTCACAAATAATAACAGCATATTATGAACATCTGCTCATTTGCTCAATAGTGCTTATTGGGTGAGTGGACATGGAGGAAGGACGTAGGAGGTGGTATATGGAAAGAACATTTGGGTTTGCTCAGGGCTGGAGGGCCAGGCAGTCTTCAATATAGCTTGGACAAAGTTTCAGAAAGCAGTCCATTTCAATCCTTGTGCATCTCTGTGACTGCACCTAAACTGCTTCCAGAATTGGCAAGCCTAGCCCCAATCCTATTTAGAGTGAAAATAACGTTCCTTATTATATGGTAATGGCCCTGCCAGGATGGGAAATTTTCTGACCCTAGCATTCTATCCCGATGGTGGAAATTCAGCCCTAATTTTCTTGCTTATCCTCCTCCACTTCCTCTTGCTAATTATGCAGAGCAGGCCGGTGCCCATAGGGAAGGCAATTCCAGCTTGTTAATAGTTAGAAACAAATTGGGAATGCACAATGAGGGATTCCAAACAGTTTCAGGTTTCTGGTACTTTTTGGTTGGGAAGTTTTCAAATCTCATCAAGAAAACTTTGAAATAAGTCATGAAGATCAACTTCAAACTGTAGAAAATCCGGCTGCACTGATGCCAAGTGAATACAAACATACATTTTGTGGCATAACCTACCCCAGCACACTTTCTGCTTAAATTTGGGGAAAACCTGTGAACTGTTCATTTGGATGGTACATTGTTGAGCAGCAGTTTAAACATCAGTATCTTGAAGCTATGACTATGATTTGAGGAAATTTGTATGTAGAGATGTTTCACTGGTAGAAATTAATTAAGCATGTTATTAACCTCTGAATTAAACAGGGAAATGCCACTCTTGTGCCATTATTCCAAACCCTTCTGGGAAATTCCAGATGAATGATTCAGCATTTAGGTGTTTATTTGTGATTGTTTAATCTGGTACTTGAGTTGTCCTACACAATTTATCTTTTTAAATATTCCCATAACTATTTGGATACCAGTAGAAACTCTTGCACTGTCCTTCGCCATTTAATTCCGCTCACTTGAAAGAATTGTAAATTTTGTGTTATTTTTGGCAAGTAATTTATTGACTGCTTCAAAATTCATGGATAATCATCATAATTTAAACAGTACTTGGAATTACAATAGCATATCAGCTGAACTCAGTTTAAAATATCATAAGTCAAATGTGAATTCCAGAACAGCACTGCAGTTGACTTTTATTTGACAGTGCACACCATTTTACTCAAAAAAATCACATTGGAGAGTTTTCAGTTTTTTAATATGGCAGAAAACTGTCAGTAATGGATCAGCCACCAATCTCACACAATGTGACCAAAGAAAACTCAGGCAAATTGTGTAACTGACAATAAATCTGTTACATCTAGATTCTCTTTTAGCTTCAAATTTAAAATCCACTCCATTACTTACTTGTTAGTCTTTACATATTGGAATGACAAGTGGAAATAATTTTGTTGTGGTTAGGCCCACGTTTGGAATGTTAATTCATATGATATCAGTGATTGGGTAGCATATCATGATGACTCTGTTCTTTATAGAGCATTGCTAGCAGCATGTACTGTTTTGAAAATATTATTAGCTTTCCTTCCTCTTCAGTTGTCATCTGTTGCTAGCTTTTAGTGTATGATCTTGAAATGCAACAGATACTAACATTAGTCCATATTTCCATTCCTGAGATAGCTGTTTGATTTACACTGTAAATTGCCTATTCAAATACCAGTACTATAGCAGTCAAACTTTATAAATACTGCCCCTCATTGGAGTTTCTGTAGCTCAATGATGAAGTCAATATTATTGGTTCCTCTGGCACAGATATTCACTCTGTGTACCTGTTCTGTATGTCTGCAATTCCTATATTCTGGTGTAATTTTTGCTGCCGGAACGTAAAGGGCAACATGAGGGAATAAGACAGGGGAGTCTCAGGAGAGAAGTAATGTGGTATAATCTGTTTTCCTGAGATGACAAGGTGTAGAGCTGGATGAACACAGCAGGCCAAGCAGCATCATAGGAGCAGGAAGGCTGATGG